TCAAGCTTTCTACTAAACTCAAACTGACCAGCGATACCAACAGAAAATTTTTGTGACCAAAGTATGGAGCTCAGCGGGCCTTTTTTGCACTAGTTTATGGGGTTTTTTTTGCGTTTCAAGTGTCACTGAATCAACTGAATACTTTCTTTCTTAAGCTTATCTTTGATTACAAGAAATAAAACGAGCTACTAGGGTCTGACAGTTCCTGACCTTTGCCCAAGCAAATATAGAAATACACAGCTACACGTCAATCCCAACCACAAGGCTTCGGATGCTGATTTTGGAGAACACAAGTCCGAGGCAGCTGCCCGAAGCCATGTCACACCCAGCCTCCCCCCAGGAGCCATGTGGCCCTTCCAAGGAGCCAGGAGAGATTTCAAGTCCAACCTCGAGGCATCCTTGGAGGGGGCCATGCTCCAGGACTTGGTCATTACGCTCCCTCTTTCACCACCTCCAAGTTAGGAAAGGCCACTCGGGCACCCTGGCAGGTTGGCTCTTTGCAGGCAAGTGGTGCCTAAACCTTCTCAATCCTCATCCTAAACAGCTCTGCAAGACTTACGTGCATGAGCCTAGGGACAGAAGCGACGTCCCCACTTGTGTGCATGCATATGAGGGTGAAAGATTTCATCTATTAGTCTACTTAAACACTTTTTTTTTTTTTTTTTTTTTTTTTTTTTACTGGAAGTGAGCAACTTCCATTGAATCTCCTGGAAATGATGTCAGGGTCATCTTTCTTCCAAGTGTACTTGAGCTGCTTAACTTGTCCACTCCATTCAATACACAGCTTATTAACATTTTATATACATTATGCCTCCATGAGTGATCCTGCAGTGACCACAAGCCGTGGAAGCTAATAATCAGTTATTCAAAAACGTTCAAATCCTTCTCCCACAGATAGAGTTTTGGGGTTCACACAACATGTGGGAGCTTTGAACCCAAGTGTGACAAGCATGACCTCACTGAAACTGTAAGTCTCCTTCGCAAATAGAAGCAGACTGGGAGGAGACTTGTAAAAGGCCTAGTGAATGGAAACGTCCGTGTGTCTTCAGATCTTCCAATTGTCTAACGCTGAGACAGAGAAGAGGAACCAGGAGTATCTGCAGTTGAGAAAGGAGGATGCACAGAGGACTGAGAACAGCCGCAGAAGCTGCTATCCTGACGCTGACATTGAAGGCTCCGCTGATGGGTGTTGGGGTTTTTTGTGTGTTACAGCAGCCGTAAGGCTGCACCTTTTTTTTGTTTTCCTCTTTTCCTCCTCTCCCCAAGAATAGCTGCAAAAACCAGTTTTTCTGAGCTGTTTCAGCAAACCATTCCTAACTCCCCTCCACGCCAGGAGCTGCACTGCTGCTGCGGGGCGACCACGGGCGCTGTTCTAGATGGCAAAACACAGCTGCGAGGCTTTTGTATTTTCACTTACAACACAAGAACAAATCCATTGTGGCCCTACTATCTCACACTTTAAAGAGGACTTTTCTAAGTGTGTGGATCTGTTTGGACCAGATGAAAAGGAAAGCTACGGATGAGAAAGAAAATGAGAACAACAACAATAAAAAACAGTTCTATTTATGAAATCCTACTGTTTAAATACCAGAATACAAACTACTGGTAAAGTCCCTTACAATAGATGCCCATTCAGTGAGATCATAACTAGTGACAGGTGAACTGAAAAGGTTCGGAAACTTGAGAAAAATGGGAAACAGGTTGGAAAATCTTGTGGGGTAAATGTTCCCCTTTACATTTCTACTCTATCTCTTGATTTCAGTTCAGCTGGAAATCAATACTGCTGAAAATCTGCCGTTTTCAAGCCCAGAAGGCCCCATGAATACAAAGGTACATGAAATATGAAAAGTTGTGGGTTTTGTCTTGTTTTACTCTGGTTTTAAACTCAGGGATCTGGTTCTAAAGAGCTCATGCCAAAACTGCACTAATGTTTCCCTGGATCCAAACCAGTTCATCTATGACTAGTCATGATATTTTAATATAGAGTTCCTCATTTACATAAAACAGGTAAAATAGGTCACAAGTGTTTAAACAAGTCAATTAGGAAAAAAAATCAGTTGTATTTGCAGTCAGAAATAGGTAGAAAACACAGACTTTTTTAAAAATATTTTTTTAATAAATTTGGCAGAGGATCACGTTGAAACGCAAATTTATCACCAAGAGAAGTTCAGAAATCTGATAAAAGTGTTAGGAAAAAACCCCAAACTGTAAAAATGCGAGTGTGCTCATTGGAACTCAAACCCCAGACAAAACAAGAAGAATTAATTGCATTTTTTTTTTGGAGGGGAGAGAAGAGGGGAGCGGGGAACTGTCTTCCAGAAACAAGAGCTCCTTAGCGCTTCGTGCGTCCCAGCCCTCCCTCGCAGCCATGCTACAGAGCAGAGCAGGGCCAGAGAAGCTGACACAGAGAACGCTTCAATGAGGTTGTTGCATATGTGCGAGACGTTTTCACTCGGTACATGGAAGCGACTGATTTGAATGGCACAGTTTGTATCGAAATGGGGCTGGGTTCTGGTTCTCTAGTAGTTGTACTTTGAAAGGTGTAGTATTAGCCCTCTGGTTCTTAACACAGAGACGCTCTCCACAACGCGGGAGACAGCTAAACACCCAGCTGACTCGCCGGAGACATCTTTGATGGAGCCAAACCATTATTTTTCCCTAACTAAAGCTTGTCTCAGCTCTATAGCATGAAAGTGATGTGCAAAATATATCGTCTCAAACGCAGTTGTATAACAATGTATATATATATAAAAAAAAAAAAGAATCAAGCATCAGTGTTTCATGTGCACTCACAGAAACCATTAATTTAGACCCCCCTAACCTGCTACTGCCTCTTCACCCCGGCAAGCGTGCCTGTTCAGTACAGACACTAACTGCAACTCAAAAATGAGGGTCCAAGCTGAAGCCCACTAAGAGAGTTATCTTTGATTAGATTTCCTTGCATTTGATGGTTAAAGGCTATTAAAAAAAAATAGCTGTATGCATATTTCTTTATTTTGGGCACATTTGATGACACCCACTGGCTCAGAGAATTCCTCCAGTGACCTTTGGATGGCTATTGCCACTGGCCCAGCAGGTGACATCAGATGTTTGCCATCGCCAGCTGTGGAAAAGTTTCATTTATAACTCTCATAATACAGCAACCAGAAAAACAAAACAGAAGCAATTCTGCCGTGGCTGGTTTTGTTGCTGCAACTCAGCTATCTGATGTAAAAAAGTGTACAAATTCAAACTAGAAAGACTTTAAAAGTTATAGATGCAGCCACTTTTTCCTTTTTTTTTTTTTTTTTTTTTTTTTTTTCCAAAATTATTTTGGTCCATCTCTTAAGTTTTAAATCACCCTTTTTCTGTTACAGGAAAACCAACAAGCTAATCAACAAGTGTTTGTACTGCTGCGGCCAGTGAGCCCATGGGACAAGAAAAAATAAAGTAACACTACTGGGTAGGAATGTTAAGAACTGGATATGTTCCTGTTCAAATGACAAACTCTGCACTGACAGACTAAGCTGAGAGCAGAGTAAGGAGATACAAACCCTGCTTTTCTTAAGCATTTCCTCTAAATACCTTCGGATAGCCTAACTGTGGTATCATAAGAAGAAAAAAAACCTCTCCCTCTAATACAATGCCCACAAGAAAAGGCTGAGTTTCGCCAGAGAACCTGTTCCCAGCACAACCTGCTCAAGTTTTTGTTTTTTTTTTAAAAAAAAAAAAAAAAAAAAAGGATTTTGTCCATGTTTTGGACAGTCTTTGGGGAGCAATTCCCCATGGAAACATCCACCTGGCCCACACAAAGTGGAACCCCCATTCCCACACTCCTTGTAGTGGTTTCTCTTCCCTCCCCAGTCTAACCCGGAACGGTGCGCAATTCTTTCCGACGTAATACAAAACATTTCAGTGTTATATGTTCCCTTTGCTTTAACTTAAAATACTGAAAGCCCTGTTTCTTCAGCAGGTAAGATTCATAAGCCTGCCACCCTCCACCCCCCCCCCAAAAAATAATAAAATTACAGTTTAACCCAATGATGGGCAAGGAAACTGGGGGCCCGAGGTCCACTACTGCTATTTAGCAACATGGGACAAGGGACTCGGTCCGTTTGTCTGTTCCCCCAACAGTAACGACCCCCCCCAATAAATAAATAAACTGAACTTGGCAAAGCATTTTTGAGATACATGGATGAAAAGCACCTGTTTGCTGAGTGATATTATTATCTTCATTACTATTATTATTAACAATGTGTCTGTAATAAATACCGGTTACACCAGGTGTAGGTGAGCGGTTTTGTTCCTCCTGTTGGGGATGACCTGGTTTGTGTTCACCTTTGGACGCTCAGAGTCCAGAAGGGATTCTTTTATTTTTTCTGCTCGAAACCAAAGTCCAATAATTAACTCGCAAACAAATGAGCAAGCGAATGTCTGTGGCACCCAGAAGGCAGGTGCTGCTTTTGCCCTCTCGGCTCCTGGGCGCTCACCCCTGCTGCCCCAGGGACAGGCTGCCCTTCCCAGTTTGCAGAATTCAAGTTTACACCAGTGCCACCACACTAAAATATGCTTTGCTGGAAAACTCAGGAGCAGGTACTCAGCCTTCCCGCTCATGCACAAACAGCAGGCATTTCACTTAAGTAAAAAAAAAAACAAAACCCAAAAATCTAAAAAAAAGAAAAAAAAAAAGAAAAAAAAGAAAAAAAAAGAAAAAAAAAAAAGAGTGAACCATGCCAAATCCTCCAAATGCCTTCCTAAAGTCCTCCTCTTGACTGTGTGACAGGGTCCCAACGCCGTGCTTGGGAGGGACGGCTGCGAGGCTTTTCACACCCAACTTCTCTGCCTCCCTCACAAACTCTCTGCTCCAGCTGCCCGGCTATATCTTTATTCAGGGACTGTGCTAAACATAACTGTACCCTTTCCCTAATGTGACCCTGAAGCCTGTCGTTTACCACAATTGAACCAGAGGGTGGAAATACTACACCTTTGAAAATTCTCTTAAAACAGCGTGGTTTTTTTAATCATATCTCTCAACAGAGCTCCTTCTGTGTGTTCTGTAGGTTACCCTGCTCCCAACCATACCAGCACCTAAAATTGCTTTCTGAGACTTGAATGTATTGCTGGCAAGACAATCAATTCAAGTGGTAAGGTGTATAATATTTAGAGATAAAGATATATATATTTAAAAAAACTCAATAATAGTAAATTCCTGTAATATGTCTAGTCTGATATGAAAGCTCTCCCTCTACGGAGAGACATCTGCTGTGATTACCTTACAAAATATTAAAAAAAAAACCACACACAAAAAATAACTTTCTCTGTGAGAAATAAAAATAAATCCTAGTGCAAATATAAAGCTCTGTAAACCTGGTCCTATGAGAATCTATGGTTAGTAAACGGCAGTTAAAGCAGGTTTATCCTCTCACAGAGAGAGCTCACATCATGGTTTCCACAATGATATGAGTTGGCTTGATCAATCCGCCATTCGAAGTTCCATTGGGGCAGAAAGGGGTGCCACTCTCTGTTTCTTTGGACCACCGATTCACTTCCTTGGGGGCAGCCACCGCTTTTATCCTCTGAAAGGAAGAAGAAAAGCAAAGGTGAGAAGACCAAGCGGCCCCGGCGTCTCCACGTGCAGGATGGAGGACGCGGGGACTTGGGCTGCAGAGCACCGCGTTCAGTTTTTGCTCTGCCGCAGAGCCTGATGTGATGCAGGCGAGTCAGACGCGAGCGGGCATGCACGGCGTTACCCCGCATCCCGCACGCCGGGCTTTCGGCGCTGCAGCTGCTGCTCAAATTACGTGCGCTCTCCTTCCTCATTTAGAAACAGCTCTGCCTTTTAGCCCAGCTGTTCGTTGCCAAGTGGCAACTCCTCTCCTACATCTCCGTTCACAAAGGAAGAACTAAATGGCATCTGACCAGTGTTTACTCTCTTTCCTTTCCTAACATGGTCTTTGAGGAGTGTTTTGGCTACTTTTAGACTTGTCTCTCAATAGATGGTGACAATGTAGGCAGGAAAATAAACACTCAAGAAAATGCTCTGGCCACAGCTGAAAAAGACCATTAACACTTGGAGGAAAACAAATGCAAGCCTTTGTGCTCTGGGAAATGTTCTTTTTTTATTCTATTCTCTCTTTTTTCCTAACCCGAAGTGTCCCACTTTCTCCTCCAAGAATACCCTGGGCTGCATTTAAAACCATCTCATTAGGCAAAAACAAAACTAATCTGAAACCTTAGAAGAGAATTGCTAAGTTTCGTGCTTGCACGGTATCCAAAAACTTTCCACTGGAAGAAAAACAAACCAGGGGAACCTGTGCTGACCTGCGAAGGGTAAGAGATTGCCTGCAAATCCAAACCTGAGAGAATCTGCACTGTCAAGTCTGAATCCGACCTGAAGTTTTCCAAATATCGGGGCAATCTGGATCCAGTGTTTTGATTTGATTAATTAGGAATAAAAAAAAATTAAAAAAAGCGAAAACGTGAAGCCCACTGGCAGAAGGGTGTGACTTTTATTCAGTCCCCCGGAGTGAGGGCCATGCCTGAGAGCCACGCGATCCACAGGCGGATCTGAATTTCCCTGAAATTCAGTGAGCAATTAGACAGCCGGGTTTGACTCAGGTCTCTCTCTCTCTCATTTTCTCAGTGATTTGTAGGATGGTACTGCCTCGTTCCCGTGGGCGGGAGAAGAGAGATGGGGCACTGGGAAGCACCCCAGTCCTTGAGCACTTGTCTGCACATGGAGGCAACCATCTGCCAAGCTAGAAACTGCAGAAGTGGGACGCAAGTAAAATCACCTGGTGTTTGTCTGAGGACAGAAGGCTTAGTGTTTGCTCTGTTTCTTCTGTTTGCTCAAAGGACAGCTGATCTTTAACACTCTTATTTGCATTCACTGCAGGAGAGGCACCCAACTTTGCCCTACCTGGACAACACGGCGGTTTGCCAAGCATTGTGCTTATTTTGTATAAACACAGTGAGTTAAAGCTCCCTTTCTCCTCTAGACAGACAACTGGCTGCTCTTACCTCAATGAGCGACCCATCTGACTGTATGATGCGGATGACCATCACCATAGGGATGCAGATCATGGAGGAAAGGGCAAGAACCCAGCCCAGGCCAATTGCCCAGTCTGGGTATGTGTAGACCTTGTTGTAGGTCAGTGGTTTGTACTTGGCCAAAGAAAAGATAAAGCACCCCTGTGGATGAGAAAGGAAAACAAAGTGAGGCTCAAGAAATGCTGAAAGCAGTATGGCTCTGGTGCTACCACTGGCCCCAAGGAAGACAGGCAGTGAAAGGCAGAGCTGATAGATACCGTATGTATTTTAAACCAATGGGGAAATTATTCTGCCATTCAAATAATTGAAAGAGCATCTGCCTCTGCTTATAGGTAAACTGTTGCTTGACAATAGGGTGTTCAGCAATGGTGCTGAAGAGCTGCAGTACATTGCCTGTTCTTTTTCAGGGCTGAAACATTTGCTGTACATTGCAAGAAACTTACTGGGGTGTTCCTCCCACCAAATGAAATACTTTGAGCTGAGTGTCTGCCTCACACTGCCCAAGCCTTTTTGGTAAAATGGCCCAGTAGTCCTATCACTTAAAGTATGGACTTCTCTTTGGAGAGTGAGTTTTCTGTGTCATGAATGTAATATTTTGCTAATCCTAAGAAAAAAACCCACTCAAATGTAGACAACTGCAATTTGCACAGGCACAGCAGAGAGCTGTCACATTAACAGCTGACATCTGAGAAGATGATGCCTTTGAGGGGTATGTTCAAGCCTCCAGCAGCTCTTTGCAAATTGGTCTCTGAATGCAACAGCCTTCACTTGAAGAGAAGCAGTAAGAGGCGGCTCAGAGCTGCTACGTGGAAGACTTGAAAGAGCCTGGGTCAGTACTCACCACGCAAAGAACTGGTGTGATCACTATCCAGCTCCATTTCATCCAGGGACCAGGTCTGTATCCAATCATATCCTCAATGGCATCATAAATATTATCAGCGCCTGTAACGGATAGTGAGCGCATTTATCAGAATCGAGCATACAAAAGCCCTGTAAGGACTGAGCTGACATCTGAGAAGATGATGCCTTTGAGGGGTATGTTCAAGCCTCCAGCAGCTCTTTGCAAATTGGTCTCTGAATGCAACAGCCTTCACTTGAAGAGAAGCAGTAAGAGGCGGCTCAGAGCTGCTACGTGGAAGACTTGAAAGAGCCTGGGTCAGTACTCACCACGCAAAGAACTGGTGTGATCACTATCCAGCTCCATTTCATCCAGGGACCAGGTCTGTATCCAATCATATCCTCAATGGCATCATAAATATTATCAGCGCCTGTAACGGATAGTGAGCGCATTTATCAGAATCGAGCATACAAAAGCCCTGTAAGGACTGTAGGATTTCCGGCTGTTTCCTAGCCCCCCCCCCCAAGGGGTATTTAAAGGGAACGTGAGGGTGTCAGATGTATTGTTCAAATGCTTCCCGTGGCTGTGAGGTTTATGATTTTTCCCTGAGAAGCTCAAAGGTTGGGGGACTCTCTCATCCTACGCACCCCTCATTATTTCGATGCAGGAGTGCAATGCTAATCCCTCCTGCCCACTCCTCTCCCCAGACCCTCACTGATCTGGCCAGGAGGATCACCATGGGAAGGACACAACAGCAAACGGTACACCCTGCTTCTACAGAAATCTGACTGATGCAAAATGAAGGCTTTGTTTGTTTTGCTTTCCTAAGGAGATGGAGCACATGAAGAATCAGGGCAATGACCAGTCCTAAGCAGCAAACATCTTCTGATCATTCCTCGGCTACCATCTCAGGCAGCTACAGAGGCTACTGTCAGACCTTGGTAGCCAGCATCGCCTAAAAATAACGGACAGAATACACTTCTCTGTCGGTTTTTTTTTTTTATTTCCTATTTGGTTGGCTTGCCCCTTACAGACATTGCAGCTTTGAAAGGAAATTCTCTGAGAGACAAACAGAAATTTTCACGGCTGGCCAAACTTTCAACTCTCATCTCTAAACTTAACACATGTAAATGCTTAGTTGTGTCTTTATTAATTAGCAATGGAAAAATACTCATTTTTTGTGTGGAAAAACACTGGAGGCTGGCTTCATCCCAGACGCAAATTTGTCTCAAAGAGGTCAGTGCAAATTTGTATTAATGTCTGTTGCTGGGAAGAAGATTCTGGGGCGGCTGATGATTAAATGTTTGGCTAGCAAAATTGTCACCGACTCATCAAAAGGTATCAGATGAAAGGATTCTCACTTACCATAAACCCAGGCTACAGCAATACATTCAAAGAATGCAACCCACAAAAGGCATACACCACTAGCTGCATAGTAGTCAAAGAGTTGAAAAACATACATGCCACCCTGTAAAAGAGAGACGCCATGGATTAGGATCCAACAGGAAAAAACCTGAGTACTGCAGGCTCAGCTCCCAGTAACATCTACCGACATATCTTAATGACTGCTGTCTAACAAGAAGAAATATCAAGCAAGTAAGTGAGGTAAATATTTGGCATTACCTTCCCCAGAGAACATGCATGTTTACTACATGCATCCAAACAAGACGACGATTAAACAAAATTAAGGCACTTAGTATAATCTACCGAGACACTTAAATCTTTCCTTCTTAAAAGTATTTTAGGATGGGCATTGATAGAAACAAATGATGTAAAGAAAGAATAGGTCGCCTCCTAACATTAACGCCTCCAAAACACTAAAAATGGAAGTCAGTTCATCGGGAGGCTCTTCATTTATGAACTGAGTGGAAGGACTTTTTTAATGAGAATAGTTCATTTTTTTCTTTCCAACTCTATTTATACTATGCTGTTAGACTCTTTGCTCTCACTACACTGAACTATATATACCTGCACTTTTACTTGAAAAACTGTGTTTGTTAGGCACCTCCATTGCTGGTGCTATTTTAATTCCCACAATCATGCTCTTCCAGTTGTTTTTAAAATCTGGCTTGGATTTTATTTTGGAGATAAATATCACAACAGTGCAGCCACTGGAACATATTCCCGTCTTGTTTATACTAGAATAAATCCAGGGGTATT